TGTGCCACCCTGCCTTGGAGGCAGCTGATGTGGACTGAAGCCTCCACAAACTGTGAGCTGAAAAAACCTTTCCCCTTTTAATTTTGGGTGTTAGATATTTTATCCGAGCAATGAAAAAAGTAACTCACACAGCTTTGCTGTACAGAAATGCTTTCTTTTCTTCCCAGGGCCCCACCACACCATCTTTTTTTCTTTTTCTCTTTTCAGCGATTGAATCCAGGGGTGCTCTACCATTGAGCTACACTCCCAGCCCTTTTAAGTGCTGATTCTGTCACCTAAGAGGTCAAACCAATTACACCCAACTGGTGTCGTAAAAGCACCAGGACCAGGGGTAGGACACACGGCAGGACTTACTACCAAGTTTACTGCATTTCTGCATGTCCCCATCTACCAGACACAGTCACAATGTAAAACCTGCAGTCTCTTCCGCTGAGTCTCCATCTTGCCCCAGCTGGTAGGTAGGTGGGCATTATAGGACTCTCACGTCTATCTGACCTATTTACCCAAGTGCAAAGATAGAAAGCAGCCTGTCCCTCGACGCGGAGAGCTTACTAGAAGACAAAATGGGAACTCCCAAAGCAAACAACGGTGGGAAGGCTCTTTCTCCTCCTAGTAAGAGTCTCATTTGGACTGTGCTTCCTGCCTTAGCTTCCAGAGTGTGCACCAGACAGCAAGACCTCAGCACTTCCCTGTGTGACAGATGCCAGCCCAGTTCCTCCCATAGGCAAATGCAAAACCCCTAAGGCAGCAGAGAAAGAGTCCTGAGAGGTAACAGGGTGGGTGAGTTCCCGTAAAAAGTCAATCCTGAGAACGGAAATCAAACCAGGTGTTGAATGAATTGACAGCTCAATTCAGTCCTCATTGAGGCCCCTTTGAGAAACAACCTCAAGTCCCTGGGGGCCTCTGACCTTTCAGTGTTAACTATTGATCTCTGATACCTGGCTAAGCCACTGCTCAGAACTCCACTGACTTGACTCAGTTAAAGTAGAGGCAAACCGGAAATTGAAGCCAGATGTGAAGTTAAGTTAACATATTGCTAATCGATGTGCATCAGTAACTGTGGTTTCCACATACCCTCGGCTTCTCCTCCGAGCCTGCCTGGCTGGTAATGCCAGTGACTGGGCAGCATCTGAACTCGGCTGGCTGGGACCACCCTCTCCACTTTCACTAGCCATTGTCCTCCTAACCCCTGAGAGACCTATGAGTCCTTCTGGCTCTTTTTTTTTCTCCTCCTTTTTTGAGTTTTGTTGGTTTGGTTATGGCTTTGGTTTTTCATTACTGCTCTTGTAATACCCACATGACTTACCTCATACCCTCTTCACAACGACCTTTTGACATCCTTGTAGGGATGAACAAACTGAGGCCCAGCGAGGTTTAGTAACTGTCCCAGTGTCCCAGAGCCAGCAAGGAACAGACCCAAGCAGTCAGGATCCAGATCCCATGTTGTAAGTGACTCCTGGATGCACACCCAAAAGCTTAGCTTCAGCAGTGTAAATATAGGAGCAAATATCACTTGAGAACCTACTAAATGCCAAACATGGTTCAGGCACTGGAGGCAGGAACCAGACAGATGAGGTCAATTGTCTAGGGAGCTGACACTCCAGTGTGAGAAAGGTAACAGAGAAACAAAGAAGATGGGTTTCAAGCTGGGCATGGAGGCACATTCCTAGAATCCCAGCATTCAGGAGGCTGAGGCAGGAGGATCATGAGTTAAAGGAGAGGCCAGCCTGTATAGCAAAGTCTAGGTCAGCCTGTCTCAAAAAAGAAATGATTTCAGCAGTGATACAGGGGATGGAAATGAAACAACGACATGCATGGGAAGGAAGCAATATCAGAGAGACTGGTCAGGAAAGGTCTCTCCTAGAACACACCAGCTGAGTAAAGCCCAGAAGAGTGAGCAGGCACCAGCCACTAGAGAAAGCCTGAAGGGAGAGCTTATCAATAAGAGGGGACAGCAACTGCCAGGGCTATGGGGCAGATACGGAAATAAACCCAATGTGAGGAGCATGAGCAGGGCACAGAAGTGGAGTAAGGTCAGTGGCTGGTGTCTGCAATGTCAGCAAACACCCCCACTGGTCAGACCTCCTCACTGGTGGCTGCATCCACCTCCCCATGACTGACATCTGTAGCACATTTCTCAGGTTGCCTTTTAGACACGGATGACACAAAAACCCTCCATCAGCACCAAAGAGACAGAACATGTAGAGATTCCCACCTCCCACCCTTTAGCAGTTCTTATGGCAAAGCCAACCCAACCCTTGACGTTAATTCCCCAATTCCTCCTATGCCCGAAGGAGAAGGCTCTAGAGTAGAGCTTGAATGTTGACTTGGCTGTTTACCAACTCAGGGCCCGATTTCCTCACCTGTATAATAAGACCCAGATTCATTCTACTGAGAATGGAAGGGCTGGTGATCTGCCGTGCACCTTGCAAGCACTCAGCAAAGGTTAGCTATTATTGCAGCTGTTGCACTGATTAACACATAGGTGTCGGCCCAGCATGCACACCCACAAGGGGATCAACAGGGACTTGCCTCAGCAACTCTACCTCCTCCTTCCATGATTTGTCACTTAGATCTTTCATCATGCAGAGGAGCAAGTTCACAATGACGACCCAAATGCACATTTTCCTAATAATGAAAATAACCATGGCTACAATGTATCTGTGTGTATTGTGTGCCATGTCTATGCTAATGGCTTACCTGGATCACCTAACTTAACCTTCACAACATCTTATGGGCTTTGTGCTATCATTGTCCCCATTTATAGAAGAGGAAAGAGGAGCTCCAAAGGTTACATGGACAGTAGCAGAGGTGGGTTTTGAACTCAAGCACTCTTTCACCAGAGCCTGCCTGCTTAAGCATGATATTCAGTCTTCAATGCAGAAAATATTTATTGAACCCAGGCATAGTGGCACATGGCTGTAATCCCAGCAGTCTGGGAGGTTTAGGAAGGAGGATCAAAAGTTCAAGCACACCCTAGTCAACTTAATGAGACCCTGTCTCAAAATAAAAAAGTTTAAAAGAGGATGGGGATGTAGCTCAGGGCAAAAGCTGTAGGTTCAAATCCCAGTAACATATGCACAACAAATTATTGAGCACCTGCTGTATTAGACTACAGTGGACCCTTGAGTTATGACCACCATGACACATGAACAATTTGGGTTATGATCAGAATACACTAGGAAAATTACTGGTGTTTCTGGTAAACTATGCACATTATACAACAAAGGTTAGTTAAGGGGTACTTTGGGAGGTTCTGAACCCATTATGGGTATTTCCATTATTTCTCATGGGAAAGAGAGTCTTGACTTAAAACTAACTTGAGTTACAACCAGACCTCTCAAATGAATTGAGTTCATAAGTCAAGGGTCCACTGGAGTGCAAAAGAAATCTGAAATACAGCTAATCATTCCAGATTGAAAAATATCTCCTGGGAATGTGACCTTAGAGTATTTGCACATTTAATCAAGGTAAGGCCATCCTGGATTAGGGTGGATCTTGAGTACACTGACTGGTATCTTTCTTAGAAGAAGGACATTTGGATCTAAGCACACAGAAACACCAGGTAAGAACCAAGGCAGAGACTAGAGTCGGTTAGCCATGGATTTCTAGGAGGCACCAGAAGCCAGGAGAGAGGCAGAACACAGATTTCCTCTCAGAACATATAGAAAGGGTGGACCTGCTGACACTTCGACTTCGGACTTGTGAACCTCTGAACTATAAAGGGATACATGTTGTTTTAAGCCACGCAGTTTGTTTCCAAAGTCTTAGGAAAATAATACTCTAACAAAAAGACAACAGCAGAAACAATATTCTCTCAAGTCACACCTCAGCCCTATTTCGCAATAAGAGTTCGTGTCTGAAAATCACAGTTCCCCCACCCGCCAAGGGTAGGCAGTGGGAGAAGCCAGCGATGAATCAATCCAAGGCCTCACAGGAAGCCGGCTTTCCTGTCAACAAAGCAGAGAATGAAAACATGTGGTCCTCCCGCCAGAGGGCTGACCACCTGGCCACTGTCACAGGTTCAAAGGAGAGAATATGATCATAAAGGGGAGAAAAAAATTGGAAAACCCACCAAACTGCTTTGCATATGACCCCCAAGACCCTCATCTTCTGCTCAGAATGAGTGTGTTGGTGAGTGCAGCTCAAGAAAAAGGTCTAGGCCTCCCAAATGGCAGCTTAAAGGACAGACCTGCTATCTCCCTGCAAATCTGCTGCACACTGAAAGCAGAAGTTTGTAAGCATTTGCAACCTAGCTCCTTTTGGGGATCTTGTAAGTGTGACGTCTGGATTAAGCCTCTCCATTAAAAAAAGAAAAAAAAATTCCTACACGCAAAATCTGAGGTGACCTTTCAGGGCATTTAAACTCCTAAAGTATTTTTCCCCCAGTACTGGGGACTGAACCAAGGGCCTTAGCACTGAGCTACATCCCCAGTCCTTTTTAAATTTAGTTGCTTTTGAGACAGGCTCTCACTAAGCCCCTGAATTGCCCAGGCTGGGCTTGAATTTGCAGTCTTCCTGCTTCAGCTTTCCAGAGTGCTGGGATTACAGGACTGTGTCATCATGCCCGACTCCACTGTAATTCTTACTTTCCTTTTAACTGTCTCTTCTGCCAGCCAGAGTAACTTGAGGGCAAGAATTTTTGTCTTGTTCACTTCTGTATTCCCAGTTCCTAATACACAGATACACAAAATGAATATCATCTGATGGTTGGATGGTTGGATGGATGCATGGGTAAGTGGATGGATGGATGGATGGATGGATGGATGGATGGATGAGTGGGTGGATGAGTGGGTGAGTGGGTAGGTGGATGGGTGGAGTAGATAGATGGGTAAGTTCTTCATGATGTTGCTCTGGCTTCAAACCAAATAAATTAATACATTAATGAAATCAACAGAGATCCATTAATTGCTCCTTAGGTATTTTCTAGTGCCCCCTCCTACCATAAGAATTGGGATGATAATCCAAAGAGATGACATCTTGGCATCCTCAAGACTCACCTCATTCCTTCTGAAGCCATCTTATCAAGGTTGGCAGTGTCCTTGGTTTCTGCCCAGTTTGCTCCTAGGTCACCCCACCCCATGTCATCGGCCAAGATGATCACAATATTTGGTCTTTGACCTGCTGTTTTCCCACTGATGCAAAAATTCACAAGAGGATAAAGAAGTCCAGAGAAACTCACTCCCACCAACAAAACCTTCAGAAAAATCGAGCCCATGGTAGGAAGGGGAAGATTCCGGTTGTCTGGAGCAATGGTGGGTCCACTACAGGCTTTTCCCACTCTCTCTCTCTCTCTCTCTCTCTCTCCTCTCTCTCTCTCTGTTCACTTTCAATGCCCAAAGTCCCTGGGGAGATGGAGAGAAGCTTGCAAGAACATGCTGTTGGCAGTGATGACGGCTACAGGTATGGCAGAGACTACAGAAATGAAGCCTCCATCTGCAAATCTAATGCAAGAGAGTCAGGAAACTTGCAACCTCTAACTTGGTTTGTCCTTCTATGGGAAATGTTTCCCCACTGAAGCTTAACAAGACAACCAGCTGGTTTTCACGGTTAGTATAGTATCAATGACCACTTTCTGGCCACTCAACAAGTGACCCCTCTGTATTTAAGGCTGTTCAGGCCACATCACAAGCCTTGCAGCTGTCTGGGACTCGATCTGGTGACTGTGGGATAAACTCTTGCATCTGCAGAACACCTGGATGTTCTAGAAGCCGCAGCCAGCCCCAAATGAGTTTCTGACTTCCAGATGGTTGAGGTTTCCCAAAGGTTTCCTGAAAGAACAAAAATTAACAAGAAAACAGAGTTAAAACTGTCATTGCAGCTGTGTTTTAGCCAGTAACTTAGGAAATAATCACTTTCCCATGCCAACAGATGTTTTCCTTCTTATTCGAATATTTAACTGATCCCTGTTTCTTCCACCTGAAAGAGAGTGATGATAATATTTGCAATGGATCTATAGTTACAGGGTTGGAAGTCACATCTGAGATGACCTCTCTCAACCCACACCTGGTATAGATGAGGATATTAAGGCTCAGAATTGTGGGTGGGACAGGGATCAGTCCCCAACTCTGCTAAATCGCAGTATTCCTCTGCTCCTATCACCACATTTATGATTCACACGAAATCCTGCAATTAACCACAACTTATCAAAGTCACTGATAATTCTCAAAAAAAAGGATGATCCATATTACCAGGACACAATTCTTTGCAACAGTCATGCTAACCCAATATCTTTATATAAAATTCTTCATAGAAATTTTGGCGGAAAAGGAAATGTGAAAAGAAAGTTAATAATAGAATCTAGGTGGAGAATATATGGCTATTCATTGTAAAATGCTGTTGATTTTGCTGTGCTTCTGACTTTCATAGTTAAATGTTAGAAAAAAAAGCTAATGGAAGCCAGGTATGATGGCATACACCTGTAATCCCAGCACACTGGGAGGCTCAAGCAGGAGGATCACAAATTTGGGCCCAGCCTAGGCAAAATGGCAAAACCCTGTATCAAAAATAAAAAATAAAATAAAGGGCTTGGGCTATAATTCAGTGCCAAAGCCCTGGGTTCAATCCCCAGTACTGCCAAAAATAAAATTAATGGAGGTTGGATATGGTGGCATATACCTGTAATCCCAGCTATTAGGGAGGAAGGAGGATTATACATTGCTTCTCAGGGCCTGGGGATTTAGCTCAGTGGTTCTGCCACCTGCCTTGCAAGCACAAGGTCCTGAGTTCGATCCCCAGTACCCAAGAGAAAAAAAAATACATTGCTTCTCAGCCTTTTGGCTAAGATCAAGTGTAGGAAGGAGGATTACAAATTCGAGGGCAGCCTAAGCAACTTAGCAAGACTTTGTCTCATAATAAAATAAAAAAGGCCAGGGATGTAGCATAGTGCTCCCTGAGTTCAATCCCTAGTACTACAGAAAACGAAAAAAAAATAGTGGAAATGTGTCCCTTTCACATCCTAATTATGCAATTTTGAGTAAGAAAACCTAGCACTAAGGACATAGTTCAGTGGTACAGAGCACTTGGCCAGCATATGTGAGGCCCTGGGTTTGATCTCCAACACCACACAGAAAAAAAAAATCTAAATCTAAAGACACGTTCAGCCAGTGCTTCTCACACTTGGATGTACACACGAATTAGCTGGGTATTTTATGTTTACTGACATGCAGATTTCGGAGTAGGGCTGGTATTTGGGATCTGTATTTCTAACAAGCTTCCAGAAGAGGTGTACCCCACTGGTCCTCTGATCACTCTTGGAATAGCACAAAGTTCCGCAAAACAAAAACACCGTGCCTCTGAGCCTGGAAGACAAAGGAAACTGCTTAGCCTAACTGGAGATGACTCAGCTTTGGTGGACAAACATAGAAGCAACATATCAGGCTGAGTTTTGAAAGACAGGAATGAAGGTGAGACTTTCAGCTACAGATTCCAAATAGAACCAGGAATACAGCCAATCACCCCTAGTTCACTTAAAAGCCTTGATCAGAGACAGTGCTGAAATTCTGGACAAACAAAAACCCAGCCCACGAAAGGGATTAAAAAGAACAATTTGTGATGTACAAAGACACCACTAGAGCTGGGGTTATGTCACATGCTAATCCAGTGGACAGCTCAAGTGGATGGAGGTGGCTGTTGTATGTAGATTCTGAAAAACCTAAGTAAAATCAAAACCATGGGCAGTTCTCTAATCAAAATAAAAGGCAGTCCAAGTAAACAGTTATGGTAATCTGGAAGCCAATGAATCAATTGTTCAGAAATACAAATTCTTCCACTTTCCAAAGGAGAGTTATTTCAAACTCAATTAGATTCAACTGGTATTTGTTGATGTGGAGGCTCCAAAGACTTCTTCCTTTCTGGAAGACTCTTGCACAAGTAGGGTGCTTAGCAAATACTTGTTCACCTGCTGCTTAATTCCCAGCCTCATTCTACTGGCTTCTGACCATGAACAACAGTCCTAGGAGGCTTTTCTTCCTAAAGCTGCTTAGTTTAGAACGCAAGAGTGGCCTCATTACTCATCAATAATCCATTTCAGAATGACCCGATGTGCAAGAATTCGGGTGGAGGGAGGGAGTTCACTTAAGAAAGAAGCTAAAATTAAGGTGGGAACATAAATAGATTATTTTTCTTTGATGTTCCACAATAAAACATTCCTTTGAGGATTTACAAAGAGAATCATTAACACTGTATTTAACATTTTCATAGAATAGGAATAAGTCAGTGTACCATTTCATTACTCTTCACACTCAAGCCTCGGAGGAGACATTTAATCCTTTCCTGCTTATTTATTATTTGTTCATTTGTTTGTTTGTTTAACTGAAAGAAAATGGCAAATCAGATATTGAGTGGATGGACTTCAACCTGTAACCTTCCTTTAAGATCTAAGCTTAGACTTTAAGCTTAGTTGCTCTGAAGAAACTACCACTGGCTGCTCTGGGACCATATCAGATACATTTTCCCAACTCTTATGAATTACTTTCAGACAATAGACAGAGGCAAGGAGCATTAATTCAAGGCTAGGGAAGAAAAGGAGGAAGTCTGGCAAGTTAAGCACTCACTCTTGCTTCTACTGGTGTAGAAGGTACCTGACCACCTTAATCAATACATTCCACTATGAATGCCAGGCTGTTTCACCAGAATGTAGTTGACTGTGATAGATCCTTGCTGAGCTTGGGCTCACTAAGCTTGGGGTATCACCACCCCAACCCCATATCTCCATGCTCCTCAGGCAGCAAACTTTAGTTGCCAATCAGCTTTAACAGTGATTACTGCTCTTCCCTCTGACCCCTGTCGTATCTCATTTTTTGTGGTGCTTGGGATTGAACCCAGGGCTCGTGCACGCTAAGCAGGCACTTTACCATTAAGCTACCTCTCTATCCCTGGATCCTTTTTTTAAAGCAGGTTTTCTCAGGGTGCTAAACCTTGACCTTCCTCAGTTTCCAGGCTTGTTTATCTCACAGACAGGAAGGCTGGAAAGAATGGGGCAAGGCAAGATGGAGATCTGCTAAGCAGTGTCTGAGTAGCCCCAGGCTGGAAGGCTGTGGGTTTCCTGAGCTACTCACTCCATCACCTGACCCTGGCTCCCTACTGACCTCCCCGAGGCCAAGCATCCTCCTAGAGAACCCTGAAAACAGCTGAAACAACAAGGAGGTTGGGCAGACCTTTCTGGCAGAGGGCTTTGTTGGTTTTCCAGAGACAAAAGCTTCTGATGAGCTGAGGCCAAAAGGGACAAAGGATCAGGGGAGTGATTCTCTGGTTGCAGAGTCCTGCTGTTCTACCTGCCAAAACAGAACACAGTCTGTGTGCTGGCAAGGCACCAGGAGTCATGTGGCAGCGGCCAGGCCCGGAGGGGCCTTAGGCACCAGCAGCCCACGTGTGTTCTAAAATGATTCCCCCATGCATTTGGTCAAAGGTCCACCAAATGTGTACTGGGGACAGGCCTTAATCCAGGGACTATACATACAGCTGTGATCAAAACAGACAAAGATCTCTGCCGTCCTGCCACTTTTCTTTTTAGGGGGAAGGTAGAGAAATGAAATAAATGTGAGTACCACAAGGGGAAAAAAATCAAAGCAGGAAGGGGCTCAAGAGTGTGAGGCAGACAGGTGCAAAGTTAAAAACAGTGGTCAGGGACAAGTGATATTTGTCTATGGATCTATAGGAGGGTACAACAGCAAGCCATGTGGGAAAGCGTGCCAAGGAGAGGAACTGGCAAGGCCAAGATCTAGTCCAGGTGAACAGCAGCAAGGAAACCACTGGAGAAGCCACGGACAGTGAGGGGGCAAGTAGTGGAGTAAGAGAGCCAAGGGGAGGCTTTTGTTGAGGGAGATGTGGAGCTCAAGGGTTGCCCAAGGACAGCGTGATCTGAGTTCACTGCAGCAGAATTCCTTGAGGAGAACACAAAAATGCCTGCTGAGGGGCAAGAGGCCATGGAAGAAGCTGAGGAGTCAGGAGTCTCTTGATCAACCTAGGTGAGTCCAAGGGAGAGGCAGTGCTAGGGTGAAGTAAGAGGAAGCACCCAGGGCATCCAGTTCAAGGAGCTGGCACTGCCTCCCTCTCAGACACCAGCCCATGTTCCTAACCTAGGTAGTGAGGACGTCCATAAACTTTGCTTCCCCTTAGTCCAGGTGCAGGTCGGGTGGAAAACCTAGGATTATTTAATGACTGCATGTTATAAACCTCTCTGTGGCCCCTTCTTTTGCCCCTAGACCCTAAAGTGTGGTCGTTATGGGCTGTCTCAAAATAGAAAGATTGTTTCCTTAGGGAGAGGGACAGTTTTGGCCATCTTTGGTAGAGTTCCTCAACAGGCCACGAGTGCAATTCCACTTAGATCACTGAAGTGCTGTATTTATTTAAGCTTGGAGACCTCAAGGCAGACCCTGTTGTTGGGAATGCTTCTTCTGGGAACCCAGTGATGCCAAGAAGCCTGTACACAGAGGGCATCAGAGGTCCTCTCTAGCTTTAGGCTGTGACTGCCTGTTGAGATATCACAGAAGGAAGCCATGTAGAAGAAGCCACTTTGGAAGAACTGAGATTGGCCTCATATCCTACATCTAAAACCCAGTTGCCCTGCAGAAATTGTATGTGGGTCCTGGAGAGTAGATCAGAAAAACGGCAGATTCACCTCTGAATACCATCTCTTCTCTAAAACTGTTCTACCTGAGAACAAACATCCAGGAGTGTGTGGCCAAGGGGAAAGGGTTCAAGGTCAACTACCTGAAATCTAGTCCCAGAGCCTGTTTATCAACTGTTGAGGACTTTTTATAAAACCACG